TTTTCTGGTGATTTGGTTTAATAGTTAGTTATGTTGTGTATTGCCAGCTCAAATATGAGCTGCTTAATGTATATGCTTAAAATGTATTTTCTTGTGGCCGCCTGACAGCAACCTGTAAATCTGGCGTGACATTGAACGTGTTAATAAGTAAATGTTGTTCAAATTATGTCGTGTTTTATGTCATTTTCATCAGAAAAGTCTCATCAATACGTTAAGAAAAATTTCGGGACAAAAACACGTAAAATTAAAAAAGTTGATATTTAAATCGCTTAAATATTCCCTGGTTTTTCGTGACTCGACACATGTTGCACGTTTATCGTGTAGGAGGATTAGTATGAATCACGTGTCGATTGGAACCTAATCAACTGAATAATTAAGGCTTCCTCTAGAATTCTATTACACCTGCAAATTACGAGAAGAATAATAGCTAGGAATTTCGTCGTGTTCAATTTGTTGCTAGCTATGACACAATATGCAATTTCAACTTTGTGTAATAGTAATTTTATTCAGTTTTTCCTGCATCATCGACGAAATTACGGGTGTACATTGTGGGAGTGTTGCGTAAACTCAGATTCTGCGCGCGGAGAATAATTTTCAATTGGAGACTCTGTATCGTGAAATGTGAAAAAAGAGAAGAAAAAGAAAAAGTAGAATAGAATGACGAAAGAAGCTTTCGAGTTGGCTGCTGAGTAGCCGGAAGTGTATTCGTGGAATTTGCAACAACGTGGAAACACGTACCGTACTTGTGAGTTCAAACGAGTTCATTTGAACGTTTCGCGCAATCGCGAATCGAAGCGAAATTCGAGAGGCGCTGCTGTTACGACACGTTGAACACGGAAATCGTTCCGCTTCCTGTTTTCGTAAGAAGGAAAACAAATCTCTACGCAAAAGTCGAAGCTCCATTCTTAATACCCACTTCGTTGTAGCAAAAACGAAAAAAAAATAACGATTCTGTGCACTTTAATTAGTACACACGGAATTATTGTGCGATAGATGAAAGACTCGATTTTTTGAAAGAAACATTTCCATTGCAAAAACACTCTAAATACTCTAAAGTGCGACACAATTGTTCTCCAAATAAAATAGGGAAAATTTCCTAAAATTCGTGGGTGAAGCCTTGAGTTTAACCCTTTGACTGCTGATAAATCGAAATTAAAGCACTCACTGTGCAAATCACTTTGCTGAATATTGTGTATTTCATATTCGCAGAATAAATAGTACATAATAAATATAAAATATAGAATATGAATACGGAGAGCTTTGATAGTGTCCAAAGTTCGATTATCGCTGAGATTTTGCAGGCGCCGACAGCAGTCAAAGGGTTAAACAATTCTGAAAGAAAAAGTCCAGCTTCGCTACGCATTAAAGCGTGTCTTTGTTAAGAAGAAGAAGAAGACACCTAATAACATCCCATGAAATTGCATAACGATCACAAAACAAGCATAGAGTTACAACAACAAAGGAGAAAAAACGAACCGCGGTTAGTTCCTTCAGTTTCCCGCGACATCGAAGCCGTCTTCGGTCGTCCGCTTATCTCGTGACTAATCCGTGGAATAAAATTGCGTAACCTGTGACGCGGAACACTCCTCGTCCTGTCGACGAGCAAACTCGTCTAATCCTACTGGTTCGAGAAAAGTGCACAAACGTTTCTCGAAACGAAACGAGTAATTCTACTCTTCGATTCAGCGAATTGAATCATCTGAGCACTGCCTCTCGAATTAATATGTACGTAGGAAGCTTTCGGGATTAAAAGCTTCTGGGAATAATTGTGTGAAAAATATGGAGCAGATTTGTCGAACGTTTCGCTGAATTTTTATCGAGATACAAAATTTTTACAAACTTTTTTTTCAAGAATTCTCCTTAATTCGCGGTAGAAATCTTCTTAAGTAGCCACTGAAATTCTTGGGAACTTAACCCTTTCGCTGCGGCGATTTTCACGCGAAATGTGAAATTTTTAACCATGGCTGCAAAATTTCTTATTTTCCCGTATCACTTTAAAATTCAATTTGTTAAATTAAGGTAGAAGTGCAGCAAAAGGCTCCAATGGTATAAGTATAGCGTGAGCGAATTTTCGAAACGCCTAAAGGCGCCAATAGTAACGAGAGGGTTGAGAAAAATTGAGAAAGGAACATCTCGAAGTGCTAATCACCGATTTTAACGAAACTTCGGTATATAATAGTTCTCAAAAAAATATTCGACACGTATTTTTCTACCTCTCTAATCGTCCACAGTGAAAGGGTGAAAATCACCCTAAAAAAACACCTGTCAAATATTTTTTCGAATACTTGCATATGATCACCGATTTTAATGAAACTTGGTTACTGTAGTAGCTCTCAAAAAAATATTCGACACGTATTTTTCTACCTCTCTAATCGTCCACAGTGAAAGGGTGAAAATCGCCCTAAAAAAACACCTGTGAAATATTTTTTCAAGTACCTCCATATAGCAGAGTTTCGCCAAAATTGATGATTATCGCTTCAGAATGCTTTTCTAGTAAGTATTAATCCTTCCAGACGCTAAACCACTAATATCCAAGCCTACCGCCGCGGTACCCCTAAACCATAACTTAAAACGCCTCGCAACACAACTTCAGACTCCTCCCGAAGCCTCAACGAACCGATCCTCGTTCTCCAGGCGTTTTCCACGCGTCTCGGGCATCACTCTGGTAGCAGAATACATAAATTGCCGTCAGAAGAAAAACGAGACGTGTCACAAGCTGCATAGAGCCGACGTAGGTTCGCGAGCGTACTAATTATCGCGGCTAGACCGCGAATTAGGGGCGTAAGACTAAACGGAGAGGATCGTCGTCGTCGTCGAGACAAGCTTTTATCGTCGGCCTCGATCTCTACTCACGCTTCTTCTTCTTCTCTTCTTACGTCCGCAGGAAGATGTTTCAAACGCGCGCAATACTCGCATCCGCGAGTAGTACACGCTTAGTTGCGGAATCACGTCCAATCGAACGATACTCGACAACCGAGGACGATTAATCGAGGCCTTAACCGCGAATCGATCGCGCTCTGCTTCTCCAAGTGAAAACGAATGGCTGGCGGTGTGCTGATGACAGCGGCGATTAGGCGCTTCCGGCAAGATGGACGCGATTAATCGTGAGAATAGTCGGGGAATTGTTGCTAAGTCTTGTTCGGTACGTGTTTCTGTTATTGCAGTCGTGGAATGTGTGGGTATACGAAGATTTATCAAGGATGCGTTATGGATGCGATTTAGCTCTGGGAGCTGATCTTTATCGACTTTCGATCGATGGAGTTTGATGGGTTTTTCGTTGGCTGGGGTATGGGTAGGAGTTAATGTGTGATGTGGATTTGCATCGTGAGAGAGGATGAAATTTTTTGGTTGGTTTTTGTGGTAAAGAAAGAATTGTTCGTCATGTTTGAAGGTGTACAATTTTAGTGAAAAGTTTCTGAAAATGATAGAGGTAATTTGGTTTTCGAATATTTCCGTCAATTTTCATCTCAAGTAAAAGAAGGCAGTATTTTTATAAAGTAGATGAATTAGACTAATACTCACCACAGCAGTTTCTGCAAATTTCAATTTTTCAGAGAACGACAGTCACACCTGAACGAGAACAAAACTCGACAATTTTTCTATTTTCATTCTTTTAGAAAAATCGACGTTTTTCACCGACGATCTTTAACAAATTCTACATTATCAACTATCAAAACTTCCATGCAAAACCTCCTTAAAAAAACCACAGCGAACTTAGTCACAAACGACACAATCCAACCGTAACTTCTAACCACTCCACTTAACCTCTGCAACCTTCCCCAAGAAACCCCGAAAAAATGGCTCGAATGGGCAAAAAAGAAGCGACAGCCCTCCAGATCGAGGTAGAAACCGAGGAAGATTGGGAGCAATTAAAAACCCGCAAAGGTTTGATCCTAGCCGACGTCTATTCCCAATGGTGTGGACCGTGCATAGCCATGGTACCCATGCTGCGAAGCGTGAAAATGGAGATCGGCGGCGACCTGATCACCTACGCTATAGTAAAGAACAACAACATCGCCGATTTGGAGCGATTTCGCGGCAGAAGCGAGCCGGTTTGGATGTTCATACAAAACGGCAAAATGGTGAATCTTTTGTTCGGCGCGAACTGCCCTCAGCTTCGAAAATTGCTCACGAAAGAGATCAAGAGGGTGCAGAACGAGGAGGAAGCGGAGATGTGCCTGGAGGTGAGCACGCGAACGCCCGAAGAGGAGGTTTGGTGGCAGGAGAAGGAGGCCGTCAGGTATTATGTACGGCTATGGATCTTCTAGAAAGTTAGTGTCGTGAGAGGAGGATAGTTAGCATTGCAAAATTGCCCCGTTGAAAACAAGATTAGCGATCGAGGAGCATGCGCGTGCCAAGGAGGAGGCAGAGCGTAGAGAGAAGTACGAGGCATTCCCGGCACAGATGATGTTCGAACTGAGCGAGGAGACTGCGCTGGTTTTCTATCCGTGGGTGTTCACGGACGAGGAGGGACGTTACAGGGACAAGTTCCAGAGTCCTCCGTATGTCGAGCTTGTGAACACTTTGTTCAAGCAGAATTTCGACGTCCTGGAGGAGCTTAGAGTGTATTTGACCGAGGAGATGATCGAGAAGATGTTCGTGGAGAGCGACGTGGAGATCACGCGGGAACTGGTCACAGGTGGAATATTTGGTGTTCCTTGAAATTTTGTTGGTTGCCTTTGATGTGGTACAATTGAAGAGTGTTGGATCTTACAGCATGCAAGGAAATTGGATTGACCCTTTTGCAGCTTAGCTCGGGAGAATCTCAATGAGAAGACTTTAGGTAGAAACAGGGAGAGCTAAGGAAAACTGTGTATACAGGGTGTCTTGCTTACGATAAACGTTTCAACTGTTTAGCTTTTTGGTTCGCTTTACTTCTGCCTAAGGTGTAAATTAATCAAGAGTAAACTAAACTTCGAAATTTCTCGATTACCCTCTGTCAGGATTCAGTGCTGATGGTCTAAATTACTCAGTTCTTTAGCCCTCTACTTCTGCCTAAGATCTAACCTAAAATTTAGCTCTCTAGCTCGCGTTATCTCTACCCAAGGTCTGAACTAGGCAAGAGTAACTTAAACCTCGAAATTTCTCTACCACACTCTGTCAGGATTCACCGATGGAAGAACCATAGCGATGAGATTAAAGGGAAGACGTCCCCACGCCGACTGGCCAGTGCCTTATCCCTTCGAGTGTCCCAAAGGCACGAAAAGATGCCCCACGCGACAAATTAACGATGTCGAGGAGTACCTGGTGCATCTGATAACAAGCACAACGCCGTTGATCCAAGAAAACATTCCTCCACCACCTTCTGATAGTACTTTCATGGAGAGATACGTGTTCGTTCATGAACCTGATCCTGAAGACGAAGAAGACTTTGCTCGAATTCATCCTGCGATTTGGGTACCGCCTCAGGTAACTCATCGTTCATCTTCTTTTTTTCTCTGTTGTCTAGAGATATTTTCGAGTTTTCGTAATTTAGGTTTGCTTCTGTTTCTTCTTTATTTTTTCAAGAGGAATTTTTCTTGTTTCGTGATCCTGGTTTAAGAATCCTTCGATTTTTCGTGATTCAGGGTAGAAGCAAAGTGCACGTATACACAACTCTCTTCTCGAATTACATGGAATTAGTGCATCCGTACGAAGAACCTGTTCCTCCGCCTCCTTTCTGCGCCTTCAAGTTCTATTTCTCCAAGTTTGACGTAGTTCGAGACACCTGCGCTTTATTTTCCGATGCTGTCGAATATTTCGGCGCGTTCGAGTTCGATAAACCACCAATCGCCAGGCGAATAGCTTCTACACCTGAGGATTTCGAGAGAAAGGTTTCTTCCAAATTTAATTCACAATTTTTTTTTTTTGAAAATTGAAATGGGGATTACTTTCTTCAAAAATGGTAAAAATGGGGGTTATTCTCTTCAGAAATGGTAAAAGTGGGGGTTATTCTCTTCAGAAATGGTAAAAGTGGGGGTTATTCTCTTCAAAAATGGTAAAAGTGGGGGTTATTCTCTTCAAAAATGGTAAAGGTTGGAGTTATTCTCTTCAAAAATGGTAAAAGTGGGGGTTATTCTCTTCAAAAATGGTAAAAGTGGGGGTTATTCTCTTCAAAAATGGTAAAAGTGGGGATTTCCTTAAAAAATGGTAAAATTGGGGAATATTGACGAAGGCGAAGTACCAAACTGGCAACGAAGTGTTCGTCATAATCCTCCGGAGAGTCAGCGACGATGCTTTCCTCTCGTTCGCGAGCATCGGTCCGTACTTCGTTCAGGAGGACGATGAGAAGTCACAGGCGATGATAGACGAGTACTTCCCCGAAGGCGCTGAAGATATTATTCTTGAAGAATTCGACGAGTCGGACGAGGAAGAGGAATCCTACGAGGCGGAGGAAGCTGAAGAGGAAGAATCCGAGGACGAGAAAGATGGAGAACAAGCTGACACATGGGGAACATACACTTTCGTATAATTTCATTATCCTTCCATTTTCTTTTTTTTTTTTTTAATCTTTTCTGTTCGTTATAAAATTCGTTACTTTTCTTACAAACTTAGTTCACAATTTTTTATTTAATTAACAGAACTATCTTTTAGTTAAACGCAAGTTTCTTTCACAGTTTCTTATTTAATTAAAAGGATCCTTTTTTACTCGAACGTTCTTCTCGAAACGTTCAATTAAAAATCGGTAGAAGCAAGTTTCTTAGGAGAGCTGTTTTCACAATTTCGTATTTAATTAACAGCATCTTTTTTCACTTAAACGTTCCTCTTAGAGGTTCAATTAAAAACCAGTAGAAGCGAGTTTCTGTCGTCGTTCCAGTGATAAAGTTGCGAGACTGCAGACAAAAAAGAAAAAAGCGCACAATTTATATTCATTTTCTTTCAGGTGATGCATAAAATCAGCGATTTTACATTAATTGACAAAGTGATTTCCCTCTCTCCTGAAGAACTATGCATCGGCAATTTTGCAATTTTATCGCTTCTTAGATTTAATAGAAGCAGTTTTAATTTAGCGATACAATTTAAAAAAAGGCGGTCCGTCTGAAATGAAATTAAAAATTTTATAGATCAAATTATCAAAACTCAATTCAATATAATCGAATGATATCCTTTAAATTGTACTTTGAATACCTGGAATACCTCGAAATTGCAATGAAATTACAGAATTTCAGCGCTTCTTCCGTAAATTCGGGCCGCATAAAATTCTCGCTGAACAATCAGATCAATCAGAATTTCCCCGATTTCCGTCTACCTAGAAGACCGTCGATCCTTTTGGCGTCCTCTGAAAACGTGTCTGTCACGTTCCGAATAACGCTCCTTTTCCGCCGTCCGAGAATTCCCATTCTTCGCGCGTTTTAACAGAGAGCTGGCTGTCATACTTGAATATTCGCTGTCGTTGGCAACGCGTTTGCGTAACTTTGGCAAAATTCCAGTCGGCGCGGCGGGCTCTAGAGGTTACATTACGCACCTGTCCTCGCTGCCAATTTTTCCGCCGTGACCAGCCAGCGGGAATCGCCGTTTGCCAACCGACCGCCAAAACGTAAACCGTTTTTCACAATTCTGCTAGACAGTTGCACACCGTTTTTAATCGTTCCACGGTGATATCGCGCGGCTGCATTTTCGAGCGAATTTAATCTTCGTGTTTCGCACATTTCTGTTGCAAAAGTTTCCACAGTCTAATAATAATAATTTCCACGGTCTAACAACAATAATAATAATTTCCACAGTCTAATAATAAGAATGATAATTTCCAGGAGATTTTAATTTGTTCTTAACACTTTAATAAACGATAAATTTTGATTTCACTTCCTTGTAGTTTTAATGAATTTTTTTTCCGATCGAAATTCCGGTAGCAATTGTCCATTAAATTTTACGATTTTCGAGAAGATTTAACGTGTTTTTATGGCTCTCGGGTATGATGGATTCTCTTTTTCCTCGTTTTATGATGATTTTTTTTTTTTTTTGTGAAAGGAAATTTGAGCGATTGATCGTTGGAGGTGTTAAGTTGGTAGGAACGAGAGATGAAGCGCGCGGCGACAGTCAGAAAATGGCACGAGTTTAGCGGAAAATCGGCCACGAGCGAAGGGTGGACAAATTGAATCGCGCTGATCGAATTAACGAGGCAATTTGTCACGCGACCGATGCGAGAAATTCGCGCGCGAACGGCACGCGAGCCTCCCGTCCCTTTCGCGCTAAATTTTGCCAAGCGAGCCGAACAATTGAACCATTAACCGAGGAGACGTTAGTCACCCTGCCACTCAATCTTACAGCTAAATCGGCCATTTTCATCTGTATTTTCGACGCCGGACCCTCTCTGGGGGAACACGACCGTTTCTGAAAATAGCTGTTTTTTTGGAATTATCATGCCTTTCCACTTCACGCAGCAAAACGATATTCGTTCGAAGAGCAATTTTTTGGAATTACTAATACTTTTCACTCGTCACACCATGACCGTGACTTCATTCAAATTTTATTTCAATAAAAATTAAGCAAATTAACGAAAAAAATAAATATTTCTTATTTTCTTTCCCTTCTCAAAACAGAACTTTTGCTTCTGAAAAGTTTCAGTGCAAAAGTGCACTGGAGTTGCCATTTGATCGTGTCAAACATAAAAATAAATATTTCAAATTTTCCTTTTCAAAGCAGAACACTCAGCTTTCAAAATTGCTGCATCGGACAATTTTTAACGCAGGAAGGGTTAATCCAGGCAGGCATCAAAAATGTCCACCTTCTCGAGAAAGTAATTCACGTGTTGCAACATTGAGAACAAACAAACCATCTCTGGGAAGCTGATGAAAATCAATTTGAAACTCAAACTCGAATCTCTCTAGCCACTATTAACAAGTTCCTCCTCGACAACGACGACACTCTTAGTCCAATCAAGGAGCAACAAAACAACAAAAAAATCCTCTATCAATTTACCATCGATGTACCTAACAGAAATAAACTACCTGACGAACGCTATCAATTTCTATCCATACTCCGTGAAAATTAACGCGCTCATGAATCGCTTATCGACTCGAGTACACCGCGAGGATCGATAAAATCCCCTGGAGAACGCGTTCTCTTCTTTTTTTCGTCCATTTTGGTACCGCGTAAAACGCACGAGGCGGTCAATTGCTTAAACATCGGTAATTATTGCACAAGCATTGCGTAACTAAACAGCCGGATCGTCGTAGAGGGAGAGAGGATGAAGTAAAGAAACAAAAAAAAAAAAAAAAGGCGTAAATTACAGTTACGCGGCCGGGCAATTCTTGTGGATCGCGCGCATTACGGCCGCCATTAACGATCGTTTCGTCTTCTCTCGCCTCTTTGTTCCTCCCGGTTTCCGTCCGATCGCGGTCGTTTTTCTCGAACGCGTGAAAACTGCTCGGCGAGCGAGCCGTACGATAATCGCCATAATCGATCGATCGCCCCGGGCGATCCGTCGTCGACAATGTTGCGACCGCTACCAGTTGCTCGTAGAGGGAGAGAGCATGGGAATTAAGGATGTGGAATTGTCGGATCGAGCGAGCGTTGGGAAATGTTGGTGACTTTTGTGGGTAATGGGATTGTGAATGGAAACTGTTGGTAATTACTTTTGGCTCGATTTTATTGTTGAATAAACGTTGAGAAATCGGGGTTAATGCGGAGGATTTAATAGGGAGTAGAGGTTTCGTGTGAGAGAGACGCTAATTCAGGAGATATTGTAGTAGTGTCTTTATTATGTACGTGTAAGTTATAGCGAATTGAAGAGGGGTTGGATTTTTTGGAAAAGCAGTGATTTTTCGATATTAGCGAATGTCAGAAATAATCATTTCTTTATGAACAGTTCTTTATGAACAATATCGAGAAAAGCAGTGATTTTCGCTATACAATTTTTCAGTAATAATAAATATATTTTAAGTTATTAAATAAAATTCGCTATATGGTTTTTCAATATTAATAAATGACAAAAATAGTAATTTCTTTATCACACACATGCATAAATTAGAATAAATTAAACAGTGGCCAAACAATATTGAAGGAATATGAAGAAATGATTTTCGCTATAGAAGTTTTCAATAATAATTGTCAAAAATAATAAGTATATTTTAAATATACGACTAGACGTTAAGCAAAATTCGCTATATGGTTTTTCAATATTACTAAACGAGAAAAATTGTAATTTCCTTACTACACACGTGCATAAATTGCAATAAATTGAACAGTGGTCGGACAGTATTGCAGTTTAGTACAATTTTACAATAATTTCCAATATCGATAGATGTTAAACAAAATTCGCCATAATTAATACGCAACAACTCGCAGATTTACACTTTTCTCTGAATTTAGGTCAACGCGCATTTCCTTCGTCTTTTATTTTACATTAGCTTCGAGATGTGTCGTAAAAATTTCGATAAAATAACGAGAATTATCTGCTGTTGCAACGGGAATATTACGGTTGCGATTGGCCGGGGAAAATGGCTGGAGAAGAGAGAGGAGATGGACAGAAAGTTTGGCGAAGAAAGGAGCGCGTGTGCAGCCCCGCGAAGATAAATTTACACGCGACTTCGCGACGCCGATGCCTGTTCACGTACCCTCGTTTCTTTTCCCTTCTGCGAGCCCCGCGTAAAGCGTTCAGGTCGTTTTCTTTTCCCGTGGTCACAAATAGGAGCTACCCGGGCTCCATCATCGTGCCCCGGCGAAATTAATGGCGTCGGGACGCGGGCGAACGCGATTCGCCAGGCGACGCCCGCTCCTGATTTACCGTGTCAAAGTTCACCGCGGACCGATCAAACACCGCCATGCACCAGAACGCCTTTTGTCGGGACTTCTGTCGTCGGACAATCCGTCTGAATAATTTAACAATTTATTTCCTGCGAATTGTTTCCTAATTTGTTTCATCGCTGATATATTTGCTGATAATTGCTTAGAGTATGGAAATTTTGAGGTTTCATGGGTTTTTTGGGACATTTTCTGGAGTGTGAAGGTTTCTTAATTTTTTAAGTTTCTTGGGGTTTTGTGGATGTGGAAACTTTGAGATTTTCTAGGATTTCTTAGACAATTTGTGGAGTGTGGAAATTTAGAAATATTTTAAGTTTTTCTTATCATTTTTAGAGTGTGAAGGTTCTTAAATTTTCTAGATTTTTTGGACATTTTGTGAAGTGTGCAAATTTAGAAATATTTTAAGTTTTTCTAATAATTTTCTGGAGTGTGAAGGTTCTTAAATTTTCTAGATTTTTTGGACATTTTGTGAAGTGTGCAAATTTAGAAATATTTTAAGTTTTTCTAATAATTTTCTGGAGTGTGAAGGTTCTTAAATTTTCTAGATTTTTCGGACATTTTGTGAAGTGTGCAAATTTAGAAATATTTTGAGTTTTTCTAATAATTTTCTGGAGTGTGAAGGTTCTTAAATTTTCTAAATTTTCTGGACATTTTCTAGAGTGTGAAGGTTCTTAAATTTTCTAGGATTTCCAGACATTCTCTGGAGTATGGAAATTCTGAGATTTTCTA